CTGGGCGTGCAGACGGTCGAGGAGGCCATGGAGGTGGGCAGCGAGGCGGCGGAGTGGGTGTCCACCCACTTCACCCCCCCCATCAAGCTGGAGTTCGAGAAGGTGAGGCTGGGGGCCGGCGCTGGGGAGGAGGGAGTCCTCCGGGGGCGCCCCGCTGTGTGTGTGCGTACAGGAGTGACGCGCGAGGCAGAGGCGTGAGCCGGAGAGCGCTGGTTTATAGGGGCGGGGCTCAGGATCTGCGCCTGTGGCTGGGAGGTTGCCGGTTCGAATCCCGCGGCCCAGCAGAGGAATCCTACTCCGTGGGGCCCCCTGAGCGAGGCCCTTCACCCCCAGCTGCTCCAGGGGTGCTCATCCAAATCCAATCGGATCGAAGTAGATTTATCAAATGCACAACAAGACAGCGTGCCGCTGTATCAGACACACCCACGGGTGGGGAGTGGCACTATCTCTGACGCACCCCCCAGGGGGAGTGGATCTGTATCGGGCACACCCCCAGGGGGAGTGGATCTGTATCGGGCACACCCCCAGTGGGAGTGGATCTATATCGGACACGCCCCCAGTGGGAGTGGATCTATATCGGGCACGCCCCCAGTGGGAGTGGATCTATATCAGGCACACCCCCAGGGGGAGTGGATCTATATCGGGCACACCCCCAGTGGGAGTGGATCTATATCAGGCACACCCCCAGTGGGAGTGGATCTATACCGGGCACACCCCCAGTGGGAGTGGATCTATATAAGGCACACCCCCAGTGGGAGTGGATCTATACCAGGCACACCCCCAGGGGGAGTGGGTCTATATCGGGCACACCCCCAGGGGGAGTGGATCTATATCAGGCACACCCCAGGGGGAGTGGATCTATATCAGGCACACCCCCAGTGGGAGTGGATCTATATCAGGCACCCACAGCGGGAGTGGATCTATATCAGACACGCCCACTGGGGGGGGTGTGGCACTGGGGAGACAGCCCTGGTGAGACCAGCTGGCAACCTGGGGTCGTTCCCCCAGGCGTGCAGCTGAGCCCTCTCTCTGTCTCTCTCTCTCTGTCTCTCTCTCTCTCTCTCCCCCCTCTCTCTCTGTCTCTCTGTCTCTCTGTCTCTCTGTCTCTCTGTCTCTCTGTCTCTCTGTCTCTCTGTCTCTCTCTCTCTCTCTCTCCCTCAGGTGTACTTCCCCTACCTGCTCATCAACAAGAAGCGCTACGCTGGGCTCTACTTCTCCTCCAGCCCCACCACGCACGACAAGATGGACTGCAAGGGCATCGAGACCGTCCGCCGGGACAACTGCCCCCTGGTGGTCAGCCTCATCAACGCCTGCCTGCAGAGCATCCTGATCGACAGGTGCGGGTCTCCTACGGACTCCGGGGTTCCCTTTGACCTCTGACCCTCCCGTCTCGGGGACAGCCGAGGTCCAAGGCCGGGGGTCCCCCAGTGCTGGCCTGTCGGTCTTTAATTC